TGATTCCTTGGTGATCTCACTGTCCTTTCCGTGAGTCATTATTGTCTTATTTATTAACAAGGTCATTTTCTTGTTAACCTCGTTATAGAAATCTATAATTGAAAGGTTCCCTTGTCGGAGAACGCTTAATTCCTGTTCTATTATGTAAATAGGTCTCTTGTCACTGTAAACAAAGTCAAGCCGTGAAAGTATGGCATCAAAATTTAGAACTGTCCCGTGGTTGGTCAGTGCGTCATGTGCTGGTCCTGTTATTTTGTTTCTCAAAATTGTTAATGCAATATAATATTGCTTACTTCCTTTCTTATATAACTTCACTGCAGTTTCTGCAGCTTCCCTCCATCCTACATATTGGTTTAATCCACCATTAAAAATTGGTAGGGATTCTATTACCTTCAATGTGGTGTCGTCTCTTATTGTCTCGTCTATTGTTTCTGCCTGATAATCCGATACCTGATCGGATTTAGTTTCTATTTGCTGTTTTAAATTTACAATTTGCTCTTGTACTTGTGAAATTTGAAGTGCTATCAATTGTTTGACCAGATCTGCTGTGAGATCGGTCCTTGCTTGAGAGTTAATCATTTTTAGTTTTTCAAAATCTAAAGTTAGCTGATCCACTTTTAATTTTTCTTATATGTTAGTTTTTATAATCTTATATATCCTAATTGAACTTATATATTTATTAATACAACTCTTGCTCACGAAATATCCGGTAGGGGTCGTCCTTCTTAGTTTGGCAGATCTTCGAACGGGTCTTCCTTCTTAAATTTCTTTGCTCAGCTGGGTCTTCTGGGGGTCTTCCTTCTTTGGCTTCGCTGATCGTTTCACTTTCTTTGTATTTTGGTTTTGTCGGTTTTGTTGGTTTTGTTTTTTTAAAAACTTTGGGTTTCTTTGGTTTTTTTTGTATTTACGAATTGCCTTGATTAGCTTTTTGTTTTATTTGTATTTTGCGTTGTATTTGTATTTGTATTTGTATTTGTATTTGTATTTGTATTTGTATTTGTTTTTGCACACCCTAAGCTCCGGTTTGTTTCCTTTTTATCTCACTTTTTTTTATCTATATCACACAGTCACTCCGCGTTTTTAATTTTGAAGGATTTATTCCATTAATTAATTGTCCTTCGGGTTTCGGCACGACGCAACACTTTTATCATTCGGTGCTTTTTAGACAACGTCGCCCCACGTTGGGCGCCAATTAAACAACTGCGGTAGCGGATTGTGTTTTTAAAAAGTTTTTATTTTACTTCGAACTTCACTGATATAGATTTAAGTAGAGGGTCACAAAGGAATTCCGGGCCAAGGGATTGCGCGATCTTAATATTTAGCTAGACTTTGCGGTGTCGCTGCTGGATCAAGACTGGTTTGAACTTTCTGATCTTTGCATCGTTGATCCCTTTCGGGAATCGTTTTTCTATAAACATTTCAATTGATTTCGCCATCCCGAGTATTAGATTTCGTCATCCAAAGAGAGAACTGTAAAAGGCCTAAAGTGCAGGATCTGCAGAAAGCCGGGAGTGAGATTGTTTATGAGAAGCCGGGTGTGGGCAAACATTGGTTTTCCATTTAGGCGAGTGTCAAAGAATGGGATTGCGGCGGGGGCGCTTGAGATTGTACATCTTAGAAATCAATTAGGCGGAGGCCCAAGATTGAAATTGTTTTCGTTTTGGAAAACCAAAGATTGTTTACAACTCGTATAAGAGCTCAATGGAATTGGGTACGTTAACTTACATACATATGTGTGTGGGCTGCATTTGGGATCGTTCTCACCTGGCGGTCATATTTCCCTTTCACACAAGGGGCAACAATCCCGTTTAGCTTCCAGCTAATTCCAACCTAAAAATAGTCCCCCCCCCCCCTTCAAGTGATCCATTTCCTTCCTCTTAGCGATCGCTCTCTATCTCTCTCTCTCTCTATTCCGCTCTCTGCGCTGTACTCTCTTTGCTGCAATTCACAGTTCAAACACCTCTCTCTTATGCTTGAGAGTCAGCAACGGCCTTGCGCCTAATTGAGCTAGACTTGAGCTTAAGGCTTTAAGACTCTCTCTCTCCCGCTCGCTCGCTCGCTCTCTGTCTCTCTCTCCCTCTCCCTGACACTGTTTACAGCAGTGTCCGCTCTCTTGTCCAGCTCTGGCTATGCTTGCATTTTGTTTCTATTCCTTCTTCCCATTCTGGGAATGAGTACAGTTTATCTATTTGTCTCATTTTTGGTCATTGTCCTCCAGTAAGCAAGCAGCAGCCTCTTTATTTGGTTCTATTTTTAGAACTCCATTTCACTGCTTTACCGACTTGTTGGATGTTTTTATGGCCACAACAAACCATTGCAGTCAGTCGCTCTTAGCATCCCCCTCTCCCTACATCTCTCTCTCTCTCTCTCTCTGGCCATTCTGAAAACCCGTTAAGCTGCATTCCTGGGGACAGCAACAGCAGAAGCCACTGCGCTCGTGTTGCAGCAACAAGTTGCAGTATGGACTGCATTCTGTGCGCATTTTGGCGCGTTTTACCAGAACTTCTAATCTCTGTTTGAGAACTGCTTGTATTGTGTTTTCAATGGAAATTTTTCAACGCTTACATTGTTGTTGCCGCCAGACGAAAGCAAAAACAAAGGGTAGACCCAAAAACCGATCTGTAGATAGAGCGACCAGGGAGGGAGAACGAATTTTTTTGCAGAGGGAGCTTTGGACAAATATTTATGCTTAGACGGCGCTTTGCTTGCTCTGCTCTGTCGCCGACTCTTTCGCTCCCATCTGCAGCTGGAGCCCCCAAGTTGGTGTTTCTGCTCTGCTTGCTATTTATTTATGTGTGTTTACTTTCGGTGCTGCTTGTGTGGTTGCTGCTGCTGGTGCACACATGCTGCAAGCAGTGTGGCCAAGTTCAAGGCTATGCTTATCGCCGAGGCCGTTAAACCTTAACAACGAAAAATAAAAGAAAAAGCGATCCGAACCGAAATATCAGAAAATAAAACACCGAGCAAGCCAAGCTCCGCAAATGGCGCGCAAAAAATTAAAATAAATAATGTGACTTTTTCAATTAAAACGGAGAAAAAGGCCAAACATGCACAAACAGGCGCGCAACAAAATAACGAACGGTAAACGAAGAATACACGCTGCTTGAGCGTGCTCCAATTCCAATTTCAATTCAGATTCCAATTCCATTGCAGTCTAAATCAAAAGCACAATCAGATCTACAAGATTATCCTATCCGATGGGATTCTCCCCCATAGAAGCCCCTTGTTTTTTTTTTTGCGCAACAACTTTTTGAAGGTCAATTTTATTTTTACGCACTTTTATTGTTGCTTCTGTGTTCTATTGGGAAATTTAAAACGCATAAAAAACGTTTTCGCTTTTTCGATTTTTCGTTTCTATTTTGTTAATCTTTTAATTGCTGTATTTTGTTTTTCCTCTTTCGTGTTTATTTTGTTGCCACTCGACCGACGACTACAACGACGACTTATCGCCCCCTGATGTTTTTTAGACTAGATTCCGATTCTATTTTTCTTTTTTCCTCCTCTTTTTCTGTTGGCATCTCTTTCCCTCGGGCGAATAGTTGTTGGCAGATCGTTTTGTTTTGATCTTGATAGAGAGAAAACGGCAATAACAACACACATACTACAAGGAAGAAAAAAAATGCAAAAATTATCTTGAAATTTATTTTTGCCTATAGATTTGTGATTGTGGATTTGTAGGGGGACCTCACCTCTATATGGTATGTGTGGGCAGATACTATAGTAGTTGATTCTAGTTTATTATTTTTAGCTTTGTTTTTCACTTTTTTTCCTTCTTGGTTTCGAGAGAGAGAGAGGGGGTGTTATTGTGTCAATCAAAATGGGGAAAAGTACCGCAAAACACTAAATTGACACTGCTTGACCGCTGGAAAAACGGCATAAAGGAAAACACTACTGCATGACATGTCCGCCAAAGAGAGGGCGGCGGAAAAGGGAAGAAACTACTGATAAGCGGCCATAACTCTGGAGAACCGTTAACCTCAGGCATAAAGAGCGGGTCTGTGAGCGAGAGGGAGGCGGTGCCAAAGCTCAAGCCCAAAACTGTATCACATCACATCACATCTCCTCCCTTTCTCTTCTTATGTTTTCAATGCCGACAGATCTCTGTATGAGCGGCGGGGCGCTGCTTCTCTCTCCCTCTCTCTCATTTCAGTTCAACAACCAGTTTAGAATTTCTTCAACTATGGCTCCTTCTCTTCTTAAGGGAAGTTCATAAAGGGGGAGCAGGGGGAGATCCGCTCAGAAACAAGTTCCCAAGCGCGCTCGCTTTCGTTGGCCCCGCCAGACGCGAGAATTCTCTGTTAATTTAGCAATTTGAGCAAAATTCCTTCCTTCTTCAATTCGGCTTCTCCTTTTTCCTTACCGATGTATGTAGCTCCATTCTCTCATGCTCCCGCTCTTCGGCTGTCTGTGGCCATGTTACAATCTCGCTCTCTCTCTGTCTCTGCCGCTCTCCGCTGCTGCGGCTTCATTCATTTTAATAAATCACAGCAGGCGATAGACAGGGATAGCAACATTTGTAGATAGATGGAGTGGACTGGAGTGGAGTGCGCCTCTCTTCTTGACCAGCCAACAGAAGCGTCACATTCGAAGTGGCACAGGGGGAGGACTTGTATCTCCTTGGTCTTGTATCCAAATGGACTTTGACAGCTCTGTCGCCTGTACTCGAACTTTTTCTTTCTTTTTCTATGGCCGCTTGTGTGTTCTGTGTGTGGTGTGTGTCTGTGCCTGCGTGTGTGCGGTTTTATTATTCTCACGCGTACATTTTGTGTGTTTTCTGTGCTTATTTGTCGCATTTTTAATTTGAATTATTTAATGTTCCACATTGCAGTTGTTGTTGTTGCTTTTGTGTGTGTGTGTGTGTGTTTTTTGTGGTTTTGTTGCCAAGAGCCGGTGCTCCGATGATTGTCTGGCATTGAAACGAACAGCTGTTTCCGTTACCGTTATCTATGGTACAGATTGATACTAATTTCCCACTATCTGCTTGTCTTTTTTCTTTACAGTTAAAGTCTGCGAGAAGCGGCTGATCCTGCGCGAGCGCAAACAGGACTACATTAAGCGGGAGCGCGAGGTGATGCACATGATGACCAGTGTGCCCGGCTTCGTGAATCTCTCGTGCACTTTCCAAGACCAGCGTTCGCTCTACTTTGTGATGACCTACGCCCGCAAGGGCGACCTTCTGCCGTACATCAACCGGGTGGGCAGCTTCGATGTGGCCTGCACCCGTCACTATGCCGCCGAGCTGGTGCTCGCCTGCGAGCACATGCACCGCCGCAACGTCGTCCACCGCGACCTCAAGCCCGAGAACATCCTGCTCGACGAGGACATGCACACTCTTATCGCCGACTTTGGCTCCGCCAAGGTGATGACACCCCGCGAGCGTGCCTTTGCCTCCGAGCACTGTTCGGAAACGCGGCGCGGCAACTCGGACGACGATGACGAGGACAGCGACAAGCTGATCTACGATGACGAGGAGTATTACGACAAGGATTCGGAGTTGGATGATGGCGATGACGATCAGCAGCACACCGCCGACGAGATGGACTCCCCGCGTCACCGCCAGCGCCGCTATGCTCGCCGTCGCAAGGGCAGCTTTGTGGGCACCGCCCAGTACGTGTCACCGGAGGTCCTGCAGAACGGCCCCATCACGCCCGCCGCCGATCTGTGGGCATTGGGCTGCATCATTTACCAAATGATCTCGGGCCTGCCGCCCTTCCGTGGCACCAACGACTATGTCATCTTCAAGGAGATCCTCGACTGTACCGTGGACTTCCCGCAGGGCTTCGACAAGGATGCCGAGGATCTAGTCAGGAAGCTGCTCAAGATCGAGCCCCGCGACCGCCTCGGCGCCCAGGATGAGTTCGGCTACTACGACAGCATCCGTGCACATCCCTTCTTCGCCGGCGTCAACTGGGAAACACTCCGCCAACAGACTCCACCTCCCATCTACCCCTACCTGCCCGGCGTCAGCCAGGACGAGGACTTCCGCTCCAGCTACAGTGTGCCCGGGGATCTGGAGCCCGGTCTTGATGAGCGCCAGATCACCCGCCTGCTCAGCGCCGAACTGGGAGTGGCCATGCCCGCCAAGCGGTCCACAGCTAAGAGTAAGTCCCATCTATTCGGCCCTCCTTTCGTGAGCAGCATTCTAACCTCTCCATGTCTCCATCTTTCCCTCCAGACTCCTTTGACTTGAGCGATGCCGAGAAGCTGCAGCGTCTGGAGCAGCAGAAGACTGACAAGTGGCATGTGTTTGCCGACGGCGAGGTGATCCTCAAGAAGGGATTCGTGAACAAGCGCAAGGGACTGTTTGCCCGCAAGCGTATGCTTCTGCTCACGACTGGACCCCGCCTCATCTACATCGATCCAGTGCAGATGATCAAGAAGGGCGAGATCCGCTGGAGTCCTGAACTGCGGGCCGAATACAAGAACTTTAAGATCTTCTTTGTCCATACGGTAAGTGTTGTGGGGCACAACGGGAAGGACTATGGGACATAGAGGGACGACCCCGGAAGCATGCAATGCGAGAAGTTTGTTGAACCATTCGACGGCTGTGCTGAGTGGTGACGTCACAGCCCCATTCACACGCCCACTAAAAAAAAAAAAGCCATTTGAGCGGCACTTTACGACTCCGGCACGTGTTGGCGATGAAAACAAATTAAATGCGGCATTGAAAACTGCACACGCAACACAGATAAAAGCGAGAGAACTAGTCGGGGAAGTCGGGGCAGTGGCACTGCCACTGCCACTGGCACTGGGCAATGGCAATGGCAATGGCAGTGGCAGTGGGTGAATGTTTCCCAATTCGAGCGTCTGACTAATCTCTATTCCTTTTCCTCTAAATTTTACAGCCGAGTCGCACCTACTACTTGGACGATCCCGAGGGCTATGCCATTCACTGGTCCGAGGCCATCGAGAATATGCGCAAGCTGAGCTACGGCGACTCCACCTCCTCATCCGCTTCCTCATCGGCATCGACGTCATCGTCGTCGACGGGAGCCGCTACCATATCCTGCTCGAGCCGCAGCAGCAACAGTCTGGCTGTGGCCGCCGCCCACTCGAATTCATCTGCCGCCTCCTCGAACAGCTCTCCAACGGCACGACGCAGCTCGCCGGTGAATGCGCTCGGCAGCCGGCAACAGCAGGAGGCGAAAACAACGGGGACGTCGCCGACAAAGAAGACGGCGTCCAAGTGAGGATTCGGACGCGCACGCGGATGCAAACGCGATTGTAAACTTACGACTAGCTGTAGCAATGAGAAATTCAATTCTAATTTAGACGAAATTTAGTGCAAAGCAAAGGCAAAGCAGCAGAAGGAAACGCGGTGATGATGATAATGATGATGAATATGAATAATGACGGGGAAAACACATAAAGATAAAAATTTCTAGTGCTAATTAGAACCCAATTTCTGTTTCTGTTTGTATCGTTTGTCGATCGTCGATCGTTTGGATTGCTCTTAGGGCAGAGAATACTAATATAACTAAAGCTAAAAGTAAAATAAAACTAAAACTAAAACTAAAGCTAAACTAAAGTTAAACCTAAACTAAAGTAATCTAATTATAAGTAAATTCAATTCGATTCGAAGCTTAAATTAAATATTTATATACAATATGTAGCAGAGCAGAGCAGAGCAGAAGCCCACTCAGTCCGCTCAGCCGCTACCGCAACCGAAAGATCCACCCCGCCCCGCCCTAAGATTTGCCTAGAATTTAGTATAACTTGTAATAATTTTTTAGTGCGTAGTTAGTCACAATTTAAATGAATTACCGAACTAGCATCAGATTGAGATATAGATCGAAATCCAAGGGGGGGCTGGGAGGAACGGGAACCGCAACGGAAACGGAAACGGTACGTTGCAAAGCGGAACGGAGCGGGCGAGCAGGCGAGCAGGCAAGCGGTCAGATTTGATACAAGAAAAGCAGATGGAAAAACTGTATTTAATTTAATTATTGTGTGAAAAGCGAAATGTACTAGGAAAATGTGTCGAAACTGTAAAATTGTAATATATATATATATCTATATGTATATATGTATATGTACGCGTATCTGAAGATTTCGTTGATTTATTGTACATTTTGGTATAGAATCGTAACTATTGTAAACCACTATACCACTATATATGTATATTGTATATGGGTAAAACCAACAACAACAACAAAAAAACACACACACATCAGAAGGCCCGCAAACCGCAAAACAGAAAGGATTAGTGGCAGTGCCCCCAAACCCCTTTGTGCCCCCCCTTCCCAGACACTACAGTCGGCAGGCGGCACAAACGCTGCTGGACTTTCTTGTTAAATTATATTATATTATCTTATATTATATGTATACATGTGTATAATCCTATGCTAATTATCATTTATTTATCATTGTCATTATTATGCCTAATTGTTTAAATTGTAACATTTTTTCGTTTGTTTTCTCCACTCTGGATTTTTTTTGTACAATTATGATTTTCTGTAATTGCTTATTTGCCCTATAAAGAAACGTATAAGACTTGAGCAACAACCTCTATTTAAAACAAAAACAAAAAACAAAAACGATGAAAAATATGTGAGAGAAAAAAAACTACAAAAAAAGCTGAAAAATCCACACAAAACATGAACACAAAAAAAAAACAAAACAAAACAAAACAAAAAATAAAAATATATAGACATGGATCTATATGTGAAGCAACAAAATATATATATATATATACATATATATATATGTATATATCATACATTTATGATTTACATAAGTTGTAAAAACAGAAATTTAGTGGAAATTACCATTTGGCTTTGATTTTTTTGTGCTTCTGAAACAAAAGAATGTTTGAAAGTAACATTTGATTATGATTTTCTTTTTTCTATAATATTTTGTTGTGCGAATACACTACGTTTTCTGTTCTTGTTTTTTGGATGAGGATTAAGAGAAGCGAGAAGCGGAAATTAGCTTGAAAAGTTTAAGAGAAAAAGAAAAAAAAAACTATGCAAAACAGGTATAAAAATTGAATTTTAAATTAAATTAAACTAAACGAAAAGAAACGAAAGGAAATGTAAGGAAAAGAAAGCAGAGAAGCCAGAGGTGGATTGTAGAGTCCCTTAAAAGATAGATGTACTATGATGTATAATGTATAATGTATGATGTACGTATGTAAGACCCTAAATGAATGTTATTTTTTTTTTTTTTTTTCGTGGAAGAAGAGAGAAGTTTCTAAAACTCGCGCGTATTAGTTCAATTTTTGTAAGAGTCTAAGTTACGCCCACTACTATTACTAGACCACGCACCCCCTCACACACACACTCACACACACACACTCACACACACATACCCCTACACCGTATATTAATTAGAATCATCCTTTATTTAGTAGCTATTAAGTGACGAAGTGGAGTCGATGTACTAGCAGAAGTTGAAAGAAAGCAAAAAATACATTTTGTACATACATATCGCCCGCATACAATTCAAAATATGTGGGCGTGGCAGCGGCTTAGCAGCAGCAGCAGCAGCAATCGATATAGAAACTAAATCTAAACCTAAATCTGTTTGTAACTTGTAAGTAAATTATTTTTGCTAACATTAAGTAAATTAAATTTAAAAAGCAAAATGCAAAAACCCACACACATAAACACACACACACCCACACACCTACACACACACTTACATAAGTATACAATTAATTAAATTAAACGAAACGAAAAAAGGAAAGAAAGCAAACTACAGATGGAAATATATATATATATATATATATGTATATATATATATATATATTGAGAATATGGAGAATATAAATTGTATAGATTATTTGAAAATTGTCATAGAAAAGCGACTAAAAATAGTGAGAGAGAAAGTGTAAAATAAATATTTAAACAAATTATATATACAAATACATATATATATATATATATATACATACTATATCTATAAAACAACAACAGCTAGAAGAAGCAGCAGAAGAAATTCAATGATTTATTATATATTATAAAATATATATATATACATATATATTATTCATAAAGTACATTGGTCAAAAGCAAAACAGATGAGAAGAAGAAAAAAACAAGCGAAAAAAACGTATCATTAAAAACAAAAAACAAAAAATTAAAGCAAAAAATACAACAAAAAACATTTTCAAAACAACAAAAATTACAACAAAATTTGTTTTTATTTCGGTTAATTTCGGTTACAATAATTGGCAAAAATCATAACCCCCACCCACCACCCAACCCAACCCAACCCAGTGCAACCAGCCCCAAGAGAACTGGAAGAACTTTGGTTGGTTTTTGAAAGATTCCCCCGGCCCCCGGCACCCTTCTCACTTTATTCCCCTACCACAGAAAGCAATATAAAGAAAGCAAATGCGATCGGAAGAGAGAAAGACACGAAGAGAGATTTCCAAGAACTTAAGAACATAACCGTAGGTTTCGAAACCAAAATGTAAAATACTACAAACCACAAAACGTACTACCAAATCTTTATTTTATCCCTGTTTTTGTGCTGCAGTACCTAAAACAAAGAAAAACCTACAAAAGGAGGAAGCTAAGTGAGAAGCAGAGAAGAGATCAATGATAATAGAGGGAGAGAGACAGAGAGAGAAGGAAATAAACCAAAAATACACACCTTTTTCCATAATTATTGCTACCAAACCATATGAGGAGGATGGGATTAGTTTTTTTTTTGTATCCAGATACAGATACAGTGCGTTTCCGCAGAAGAGAAGATAATGCCAAACGATTTGATTATATCCGATAATTGAGCTTACCCATACTCTGATCCCTAACTGATCCGATAGCCGATAATCGATACTCACATATGTAGATGTCTACTCTTATTTGATGATTAGACGAGTCAATGGGGGGATGATAACGATAACTGACTTGACTTTGATATCTGGCATTCAATTGGTGTCCTTATTCAATGATAGCTTACTCAATTACAGTCTCGAAACGCACTGTACAAGTACATCATTTGTAGATCGTTTATATTTTGGGTAATTTTTGTAATGCAACCAGAAAACCAAAAAAACAAAAACGAAAAAAAACGAGAAAAACCGAAGATCTATCAGATAGAAAAAGTGCCTAGAGAACCAGTAGAAGTTTAGATGAATATAAAAAACAAAGAAACAAAAACATCCATGTGGTATATTTGATCAGTTCTCATAGTTATGGATAAAGCGCCAGGGCCAAGTGTATACGATTTATTTCATATATATATTGTATATGTAGATTGTATAATGATCGAGCCGACTCGACTCGAATCGAATCGAATCAAATAGGAGTTCATTTCGTTAAGTGCACTTTAGATTCCAAGGAAATTGTTTGGTGTGTTCAATTTGTGTTTAGTCCTTTTAGTTATGGGAAATTTTTTAGTCCAAACATTAGGTCGATTACGGCCCCGTAAATCTAATTATTAAACAGTATACAAATACCTACAGATATATACATATACATACACATATACATATACATACGATACTATATACATACATACATATATAGTTATTAATTATACATTAATTAACTCCAATTGTATATTGATAAAGTCGAGAGAGAGAGAGAGAGAGATAGAGAGAGAGAGAGAGAGAGAGAGCCGAGAATCGATCGATCCTTTTATCCAAGTTCAATCTCTAGGGGTGCTAGACTGAGTTATACATAGGTACATATGCATACATACTCGTATATATGTTTATATGTACATATGTATATGTAGGTATTGTAAGAAATAAATCGCCTAATCGAGAATTCTTAAACGTAAACGTAAACGTAATTCAATTACCTTGCAAAGTATCAAATACACTAACTAATATAGGTAATAGGTTACCTCTATTAAATATATTGTATATCCAGTACTTACCACGACCCAACCCAACCCAAACCAAACCCAAAACGACCCGACCCGACCCCTTGATACTCGATTGAATACTCGATATACATACATATATATATACATATATATATATATATATTTATATAGATTTTAAGCGAGGCGAAGTATTACTCCCTCCCCCTAAGTAAAAGAAAAAACAAGTAAGCCCATATGAAACTATCGCCTAAATGGGACTCTAACCAAATGATCCATCAATCAGGAAGACAATCTGATCGCTCTGATTGATGGCATCTCATCTCCCATTGAAAGGAGTAGAGAATAGTACCCCCCCTCTCCCCCCTAGTGTTAAGGAGAAGGCCCGAAACAAAATCGAGAAATGAATTCCGACTGCAACGTTGTATTTTTGCTGCACAAGAAATGAGAATAAGGAAATGACATGAGAACAGAGAGAGAATAGCCGCGAGAAACTAAACTAAAAGACAAAAATAACTAAAGTTCGTTACACTATAAGACGCATTCGCGCTGTTTGAAAAACTTCCCCCCGCAAATATCAAAGAACTCCCAAAAATTAAAACATGGCACACGTTTGTTAATTCAAAAATAATGGTATGAGACATTTGTAAAGGAACTGAGGCAGTGGAACGAGTGAGAGTTTTGATTGAAATAAAAAGTGAAGCGAAAAAGCGAAAGAAAGAGAAACAAAAAGGTTTGGTTTTCATTTGAATTTTTCAAATTGGGCGGGCAACTAAGTTAACCAGCAGCTGGCGCATGCTAGAGTGAGACAACCATATGTACCCTGATTCAGCGTCATAGCAGTGAGCTATTTTCTCGATGCGTTTAGTGCTGGCCAAATGCTGGTGGTTTTTTTAGAACCAACGAAATCCATTCAAATGGCCATAGACCTGAAGTTGGACCATAGATGATGGCGATTTAAGTGATTTCTTTAAAGTGCAGTGAGTAGATTTGCGGCTCTAATTGTCATCTGTAATTCACCGTTTAAGGTACTTTTAATAATTTTCGGTATTTTTTGAGGTTGAGCCGACGGTATATGGTATATCGGTAGATAATGGAATATTTTATCAATTTCATCTATTAGGTTTAATTTTCAAAGGTAATTTAATTTCTCTTAAATCCATTTAGGTCATTCACTTTCAAACAATTTATATTTGGCGCGCACCACTCGCATCCAGTCGATAGTATCGATGGCTCTCTCTGAATCGGTTTATTCCGGTTATAAGCAACAAGTTTTCATTTACCAGCAACATTGACGTGAGCACATTGCGACTGTTTTTTTGTTGAACTTTTTTTGTTTAAACCGTGTTCTAGTCAGAATACAATAAATGGGAGTGCTTAAAAGTAGTTAATCGTGTAGAAAATATATTCATCAATAGGATAAAACTATGTGGGCAGGGCTGAGGGTTTTAGTTAGCCAACATTATTTCACGGAATATCAAAATAGAGGAATATGTATAATAGGACTTGAATTCAGTCAGTATTTACGGTATATTTTTAAAATGGACGGTATATTTTGGTATATTTCTAAGGTTCGGAAAATTGCAATAATTAACATAAACAAGGTACAGATTCATATTTTTATTAACCGTTTTGTTTAATATCCGACATTATGCCGCAATTTGTGTACCGAGCCCTGTCCATCGTTTCAAACCAAAACAAACAACATTCCCGCCGCACGAGGTCAACCTCCAGATCACCTGATGCCACTATCCTTTGCGGAGGGGGTGCCTGAGTCGAGCTAAAAAGCTTTGAATCGGAACAAGAGGAAAGGATTATGCTTGAAGTCGAATCGGAGGCGCCCTACAATAGCGAGTGGGATATAAAACCTCAAGAAAAACCTTTACGAGAGCAAAGTTGATATTCCGTCAGCAGATAAAGCACTGGACCCATTGCATTCGGTGCAATAAAGTGCGGACGCACATGCCCAAAAGTGCGCGCAAGATCCACAAAAGAAAGAAAAGAAATTCTTCATCGACAGTCCTATCACAGGATGGTGCAACTACCTGGTACTGGACAGTCGCTAGTACGGCACTTGCCGCATCTGCCGTGAAGCGTAAGTCGATAAAAGTCCGCGATCTGATGGCTGTATTAGTGCTTTTAAGTGGAATTAATTGGAAAAAGGGTGAGTGGAACTTCTATTTATGATATTTATTATGTCTTGCACATAGTTACACATTTGCACAAGGCGTTCTCCGACCGACCGAGCCGCTGGCTGTTCCCATTTTATTGCATTGCGCAGCAGCAGCCGCAGCACCTTTCTCCCTATCGGCGGCGGGGCGGTACAGGGTACCCTCATTTGGTGCGTTCTGCCGCGATCTGGTGGCTCTACTTGGGCATGTGAATCTCAAATATTCTGATGAATCGCAACTTTATATTGGCAGAATGGCATTGCGGACAACAGCCACATCATCGTCATTGTCAGTGTTGGGATTGTCGGGCGGGCGGGCAATCGTCATCGTCATCATCATCATCATCGTTTCGTTGTGGTGGCTAGAACTGGCAGCTCGTTCAGGTTGGCTTTGTCATGGCCATAACAGAGTGTTCTGGCAGCTACTGTAAGCTCGTTTGTCTCCTTGTCACCGCTGTCCGTTGGACAATAACACTTTGTTTTCAATTTGTGCTGCCGGACGGCAACGCAACAGCCTGCAACCCGTACTCGAAACCGCCACCGCCATGTGTCCATGTCCCGGCAGCAGCCATGTCCCAGCTCTCTTTGGGGGCAGCATTGCTTGGCGCACATGTGGGCTGCAATTAAATGTTCATTAAATGCGACAACAACGACGGGCCAGAGATTGTTTCTCAACAATTAATGCGGTCGGGACAAGGATCGAATCGCGCCACACTGATGATGACATCCAGCGGTGTTTTTGCTGTCGCTCTTTTCTGTTCTGTTCCTTTGCTTTGCTTTGCTTTGCTTTTGATTCGTTCCAGCATGCATTCAATTCATTCTCCGGGACGGGACAGAGAGAATGTGCTGTGTAATTTACGGCCATCGTTTGCGGTGGTCCCCGCGCTCCGTCTGCTTATTTACGATCCTCGAAATTTTGACATTTATTTCTATGCGTTTTTGTTATTCCAACTTCTCTTCTGGCTAAAACTGTAACACGCCGTAGATCTTGGACCATTTATGGGCCACCTCTTGAGCTGTGTGTGCTGGCCCGCCGTTTGATCTGGCCTCACTGCCTGCGTCTTTTGTGTGGTGTGTGGCGTGTCGTCTGGTGTCTGGTTCTCTCTCAGTTTCCCTAATGGTTGCTTAATAAATTCTCCCCTTTCTCTGTGGCTGCGGCTGTGGCTACCATTTGCCGTATGCTAATGTGTGCACAAGTGTTTATTTGTTATTTAACACCCGCTGACCGATGACCGAAGATCGAAGGCCCTCATCCACAGTGACCACCGTGGTTGACACTTGAGAGAGAGAGAGCGAGAGAGAAAGGGAGGAGTATATGGGGTCCCGTCCCCCTATCTATTTGAACTGCTTGTTGCATTCTACAGGTAGGGTTCGGTGTTGGGTTACCTTATCATCTCGACCAGGGGATTGCCGTCTCCCGTTTGCTCTCTGCTTCACCCTCTCCCTCTCCCTCTCTGTCTCTGATATTTGATCCCTCGCTGCGGAACTGATGAGCCAACAAAACTCAATCCGTTATATCTCTAAAGTTGGCGAAATTTTTCGTGTGCTTTGGGGTCCGTGTCGTTGAACCCGATTTGGAAACGGATGGAAACGGAAATTGATAGCCGTGTTGGAGCAATTGTGAAGCTTTAACAATGTTCTTTAATCTAACTTGGGGGTATTTTACATAAGGATCGACGATCTACCTGACGAAGGTCTTGTTCGGATAACCAAAGAAGCCTATGCTCTTGAGTTCCATCAGCAGCTCGTGATCGTTGCCAATGGCCTTGAATATGGCTTTCTCGAGCTCATCGTACTGAAAGTGTGGCTCAAAGGGCATATCGTTTAGGGCCTGGAAGAGAGTATTGCCACGCTCGTTGCCTACCACGAGGGTGCGTCCACAGTTGGAGAATCTAAAAGGAGAGGAGGGAGCGATTCAGGGGAGCATTCCAATGGGTGAATCTTAGGTTCTACCCACTGTGCTACTGTATTGAAGGATGAATCCATTTCATGCTTGGCCATGGGCTGCAGGATGTTGCGTCTGATGTCCCAGACATCGGCTGTCTCGCGGTTCACCGACACAATGATTGTGGAGTGTGTGGGACTCCAGCTGGCCCAGTGAACGGGAGTCATCTCATCCATCAGCTCCAGCAGGGGACGAGTGATGCCGTCAATCCACACGCGAACGTACCTGGAAAAAGGATTGCAGTAAGAATATCATCCTTAAAGAGGGCTCAGGCTCAAGAGAGAACAAAGGCTAACCAATCGCTGCCACAGGTGAGGAAGAGCTTGGGCGACCAGGGAGAGAACTCCATGACGCTCACACCGCCATCGTGGCACTTGAGGACCTCCAGATACTGATGCTGATAGTTGATGGAGCACTTGTGGATGCAGCCCTCGTCGGTGAGCACGTAGTAGATGTCCTTCTGCACCGGATGGGTCGTGAGGCTGAGTCCTTGCGGATGTCGGTTCGATTCGCATGTCATCAGCGGCGGTATGGGCACTGTGAGGCCCTCGGGATGGCCCTCGACGCGTTCGAGAGTCATCTGATTGAAGCCCAGCAGAAAGGGACTCTTGATGATGCGGAATCGAGTGACGGACCCGTCCTGCGACAGGCTCAGAAAGGGATCGATTTCAAAGTCCAAGCTGTCGCCCTCCTCCACCTGCTTGATCCACCGTATGGCCACCACGGGCGCACAGCCCGGCGAGGTGCTACGCTGCGACGTGGCAATGGGTGAGTTCGCGTGGCTGCTCACGTCCCGCACCTCGACTCTGCCGTCGTAGAGGCCGATGGCAATCAGCGAGGGCAGAAACGGCGAGAAACAGATGGCCGTCACTGGTATCGGGTAGTAATAGGCGCGCTCTGGCTCCCCCGGATTCTTGATGCTCCAGACGAAGACACTCCCAGACTCGGGAACCTGCTGCGAGGAGAACGAATAGAGGCCGTAGGCAACGGCCAGAATGTCGCCGTTGCTGCGGCAGAAACTAACGTCGCTGACGGCCTTCCGCTCATCCCGACTGGGCACGGGCATCAGGCGGAACAACAGCTTCATCGAGTACACGTATTTGACTTCCGGCGCGGAGCGATCGATCTTCGCGAAGTTGCGGAAACGCTTCATGCCCCCCTCGTTCGTGTTGCTGGAGAGGGTGCGACCCATGAACATGACGGCATTCCTGAACTCCGGGCTGCCCAAAAGCTTCTCCAATTCGGACTTTGCCTTGCCGCGCTCTGCCCTGTCGTCCTCTTCGTCGACGATCTCGGTCTGCGCCTCGGCGTCGACTTGAATACTGTCCACACTGTGCATCGTCGAGAGCTTGCGGTGCAGGTTGTGCACCGTGTCGTACATCTCAAAGTTGGACACGTAGGAGCTAACCGTGGCCTGGGTCACCAGAATGGTGTTCACCGCCCGCGAGGTGGTCAGCAAAATGTCCGTCTGGGCCTGGCTCTCGGATCGGCGACGTACCTTGCCCTTGCCCGCCGTCAAATATTCGTACACGCGATTGTCCTTCTCCACTTCGTCGCCCTCGGCTGTGCCCTTGGCAGCGGTGGTGCTGCCCTGCGAGTGGAGCTCAAAGAAATCCGATTTGCGGAGAGTTACCTTCACGAAGGACTTGTTGAAGGGCTGTGGCTTATACTCCTTATCGATTTTGTCGCGGATGGCGGGCACGTCGAAATTAATGGTCTCGTAGGTGATCTATCGAATCGGGAATACAGTATTTAAGAAGGCGACTCCCTGGAAGATCTGTGTCCCGCAAACAAACCCCATTCATTAGATCGTCGATGGACTGCTTGTTGCCCCAATTTCCCGTACGCATGCTGGAGCGTGTGCGAGAGCGCGAAGCACCCCTGGAGTGCAGTGTCAACAGATTCGCCATTTGATGGAGAAACGTCAGATTGAAGCGTAGAAACTGATCGGCATATAAGCTGGTCGGTATGAGCTTTGGTGTCATGTCCACCTCCTCGCCATTGACCTCTTCCACCACCTGAAAAGGTAAGAGATCTCTGCAGATCAATCCCAACCCCAATATCAAGTTCTTAGGCGGAAGCAAAACCCACCCTGATTTGAGATCGATACTGAAGATGGGACGCTATCTCCTGATTGTAATAATGCACATGATCGGGTTTCTTCTTCTTTTGATGTGTCTTGAGATTGTCCACGGACGTGCTAGGGGCCACGTGAACGGACTTTTTATTCTTGTGATCGCCCAGTGCTGGCCACTGCGGATCATATTTAGCATGAAATATAATTGCAAAAAAAAGGATCCACCACTTACCGTAGTTCTTTCGGTTTCACGTGTAGAACTCGGCAGCGTATTCACAACTGTACTCCGATCTGAATAAATGCTCATTATGGCGGAGCGTTTTTGTTGAAATTATTTGGTAAAAGATATAAATTATTATTCTAAACTGAAAAATGGATTTGAAAGGGGACTTTTGTGAGTTGAATGATTTGGGGAGTGCCTACTTTTGGTGAAAATTACAGGAAACGTACGGCATCCTGGGATAACATTATAATCAATCTCCCAAGATAATGGGGAATATTCTCATAATTCTTAATTAAATCTGTTTAGCTTTTCCGCATTCAGGAGCAGCACGTGCCATAATGGCTCTCTCTCTCTCGCTCTCTCGCTCTCTCTCTCTGCGACTTTCCCTGCGCTTGCTCGTTAGATAAAAGTGAGATAAAGTTAACACTTAAAGCCACCACCCACCGCCCACCGCCCACCACCCACCACGCACCACCCACAGCCCATCACCACCCCAAAAAAGGCGAAGGACGCCGGGGCTGACTGGCTCCCTGACTGTGAAGGTTGCAAGTGCGAATCCCAGTAACAGTTGAACCCGCGTTCCGTGCACACCTTCTCCTTCGTGTCGGCGTCGGCGTCCGTGTATCCGTATGCGTGGATTCGCTTGCTTTGGTTTTTCCTTTCGTTTTCCCCGAGTGTTGTGCCGTGCGTGTGTGCCTGATGCTTGATAGTTAAGATACGTGTAGTGCGACTAATTGATTTCCATCTGGCTGCCAGACATGAGATAAATTGCAACACAGAGAGCAACAGAGAGCAAATAAAATCCTAATTATGTCCAGCACCCAACAGCAACAGCAGCAGCAGCAACAGCCTCCACTGCTCGTGGAGCCTCCATCAATGGAGTCAATGGAGTGCCAAAGTGAAAACCGAGTACCAGAAAACTCAATTAGGAATGTTGCAAAAGCCCAGACACTGACAACAGCAATGGCAGCGGCCACAACGGCCACAAGCGAGGCACTGCCCAAACCGCAAACGCCTTCAGTCTTGGCCAAGCTGCAGCCACAGTACCAGCCGCTTCCCCACCAGCAAAAACAACAGCAGCAACAGCAACAGCAACTGCAGACGCAGTACGTCATAAATTCAGTGGCAATGCACGCCAAGGCGACCACGGCGGGCGTCATCACTGGCGGCACGCTACACCGGGTGAAAAGTGCGCAGGTACGTTGCAAAGGAGTTGGAGGGAGCAGGACACAGTGAAGTGAAGTGGAGTGGAGTGAACGTGACGTTAATTGGAAGGTTAACCCAAGCCAACAGGAATGGATATGAACAGAGATACGAGTGGTGTACAACTGCGTATGTGGCTAAGGGATACGAGATGCAATACATGGCTTTGCCAGGGTCCAGAACCCCCCATGCGAAGCGAGGAACGTATTGAGAAAGTTCTGTACCTATAAAGAGTTATTCCTTCTTGGATATGGGAGGATTGTCTATATAACAGCACCACTATTTACTCCTTTTATACGTCCTTATCTTAGTTTTAACTTAACCCTTTATCAATGGATCTTCTATTGCTTGAAGGACGAAAGAAAGTTACACGCTCTGTACTTCCTTCAGGCATTCGCCAGCTTTGCCTCCGTATCCCCCATATCTGATCTGATCTATCCCCTCATCATTCGTAATCCCTTTTCGTAATCTTTCGCATCATTTGAAGGCAAAGTCATGAGGCAACCCTCTACCAAGCGAATGCGTACACAGTAACAGGGCTATAGATACACAATACAGATACAAAGCACAGATACAGATACATACAGATTATGGGACACGCAGGGTGGTGCGTAACGTAAAATTGTAAACTGTTTTTACCGGCTAACCAGCGAAGCAGAGTCCAAAGCAAAAGTCACCGACCAGGAGCAGGCCGGCTGTCGGTGGCTGTCGGTCCAGGTTTAAGGCAGCTGAAGCTCAATGGCTGGATGCTGGACAGAGGGCCGCATGCGTGCAGAGAGAACACAATAGAGAGAGAGAGAATGCCATGTTATGTAAACACCTAGCGAGTCGAGTGGCGAGTGGGAGTCGGAGCTGGAGCTGGAGAGGATTGGGTGGGATACGTGGACACGGCATGGTAGTGACGAAACAAAAGTCAGAGTAGATCCGACTGCTGGCTACGTCTGCTGACTGCCTGATGACTATGGAGAGCGAAAGGGAGTCCCAGCGTAGTGGTGGCTGTGTCGATGTCTGGCACTGGCTTCTGTTCGGAGTCACGTCATATATCAGATGCTCCGTGATGTGAAACAAATTTGCATTGCGGATTGGGGGTGTGGAAACGGTGCTCCTTCTGCACAAGAGACTCTGAAGGATGCTGATGATGCTGCTGCTGCTGCTGCTGCTGCCAGTGATGTGGAGTCCCAACTATCATCTGAAGTTGATGAAGTGGATGCCGCACTTCAGACCTGAGACTGTATACATTATTGGCCCCATCGAGTGCTTGAAGAAACTTTCCTTTTGACTTTTTGCTGTCGTTGCTGTCGTTCCTGTCGGGCTTTCCTGCCGTAGCTCTTCAGATATCTTTAGATATATGTATTCCACATCCCTCGGATGTCAGCATCTTTTTAAAAGGAGGGTGGCTTCCTTGTGTTTATGTTTGCTTTTGATTTTTATTTTTTATCCCCCGATTCCATTCGATTTTTCAATGCCAATGTGAACTCTTCTCTTTTTGCCGCAGTCCCCGTCCCCGTCACAGCCTTGCACTTGCCCGCAATTGAACCTCACTTGGGGTTGTTCTGGCATTCCCCCCACCCGAGGCCCAGTCCCAAAGAGAGCAAAGTTTATGCCACCTCAAAGTCGGTTGTTTGTCAGCACTTTTGCTGAATTTATCCGAGAGAGAGCTACAAGCACTCTCTCTTCGAGTGTTCGGTGGGGTGATGGGGGTTTCTTCCATCTCGTGCTGTTTGTTTTGCTGTGCAACATCATCTCGAGGGGTTAATCAACCTTTCCACCCACCACCCCGTTCGCTCTCCAGCGGCTGTAAGAGCTATAAAAGATGTGCGCAATTTAAGTTTGTTGTCGTCCCAAGGAACAAAAGGACGAAGGACTCTATTTATGAGCACAACTTTGCGTGGGCTCTGCTCTGGAGGTGCACTTTGTGTGGCTGTTCGTGGGGGATTTATGGGATAAACTTCGAGCTAAAGAACTTGACCATAACTATGCGGAAAACTTGCCTCTTCAAGGAAGTTAATTTCGATGTAAGGAAGTCGAGATAAAGGTAACGGCACGATGATGTGTTATATGGTTATTCTGAAAAGGAAACCTTCTTTGGCTACCTTTTAAGATAAGCATCTCTAAGACTAAGATGTTCATATGTATCTTTTGATGCCGTGAGAGATGTCTATTTTTCTATTCAAAACATTCCCCCATGTATGCCTATTCCCTCTAGTAATTTTCGTCCAATTTGTGTCGTACAATTGCCATTTCTGTTGTATGTACATTTTATTGTTACATCTATTTCTTGTGGATTGGATTTTCCGTTTGATTTATGAATTTATTCAATGGCAAAACGGAGCCAAAGCCAAATAATGCTTTCAGCCTCAGCGGAGCGGTCATTGAGCTGCAGAGACCACTTCAGACCACAGACGTCAGACATCAGACATCAGACTTTCGAGACTTGAGACTTCAGATGGGAATTGAAATGCAGCGTGTAAGCAGATTTTCAGCGTGCACTGCGAACGGTCAGCCAGCCATGTGTCCGCAAAACAGTTGGCAGTTGCAGTGGCACAGGCAGTGGCGGTGGCAGTTTCACAGTTAATGGAAGCGTCGCACTCCGTCTCTGTGGATCGGTGGCTCGGTGGCTCAGTGGCTCTCTGGCGCCAACATATTTTGCTGTCGCATTCAAATTATGAGCTCTGGCTTTGGCTCTGACATTGGCTATGGAAATTATGCATAAATCGTGGACAGCAGTTAAAAAGCAAACCAAAAAACCCAGCCAGAGAATGCCCCATAATGAAGTGGGAAATGCAGTCGAAGCTTTGGATACCCTTAAAGATCCATCACAGGGATCTCATGTGGACTAAATTTGATTTATTTATGAAGAACTAAACTACAGTGGAACTCATGAGTATTTCCCACTTAAGGCTTGATTTTTGAGACAGTGTTGCTCTGAAAGTTAGTCACTTTTAATGGATTCAGTGATTCTATCATGGAAAATATACTCTACTTATACTCTAAGCTACGTATTGCTCAAATATCTTTCGGTCTGTATACTCGCCCGTCATGCAGCAGCGCCCCTCGACCGTCCCTGTCTCTTATTAAAGTCATAGTATCCACTTTTAGGGTATCGCAAACTAAGAAAGAAAGTGGAAAGCCGGGAAAACATAGAGACAGAGGCAAAGCCAGAGTGCGGGAAAAGTGAAGAATTTATGTGTACGTGTTGGAAATTCCTTAATTTGTACAGCGACAGACGGACAGAGGAGACTGCCAAAGAGGAGAAGAATTATTTACCTGGCGGCTTTTCTTCTTCTCATCCATTCGCTGGCTAAACAAATTTTCATGTCACGTGACGGCAGCTGAAATATCTTCAAGATACAACCGAAAATACAACACACAAACATGACACAAAAGTATCTCTCTCTCTCTCTCTCTCTCTCTCTTTTGTGGTCGATTCAAGAACTTCTGCACTTACGAATGCCAACATGCAACAACTTGTCGAAGCGTACAACATTTGATTATATAATTTATATAATTGTGTGCGTGTTTTTTTTTTGTTTTGTTTTTCGGGGTCTGTACTGCAACTGTACACGGAAAACGTTTAATATGCGATTGAGGGAATAGTCGCACAGCCCACAAAATTTCCCTGGGAAAACTCTGGCGTCAGAGATCGTTTAACCCAGCTGCCATAAATATTTTTCCGTCTCCTAGTCGCCCAGTCCCTGTTTTTTGTACCCCATGCTAATCAGCGCTGTCAACCGTTGAGATACACACTGAAAAGATACAGTCGTCGGGAGATACTTCTGCAACTTTTTTGGGATGCACATGGCGATTCTGTATCTGTATCTGAAAAATATGTCACGCATTCCGCATCGCGCGCTCGCGCAGCGCTCTTTTTTCTCTCTGTCTGAAATTAATTTATGC